CAAATTTTGTTTCAATATGAGCGGTTTCTTTTATATAATTTTTCCTTCGACTGTAATTTTATGAAAAGTGACGTTACGTTATTTTGCATTTTAGGGGGGGACATAATTTTATTATAGGCTGACTGTTTGTTTACAAGTAAGCTACAAGCCGTCGAGTGTGCATATAATTTCTAATAAGAACGCAACGAAATCATTTTGTAGGTGGCGGCAGTAACCAAGAAGCACTGAGCAACGGTAGTAAAAGTAAATATATACTTAAGCGGATTCAAAGTTTAAAGTCCGGGAAATTTTAAAGCGCTTGCTATAAATAATATCGAATTTCAACGATAATTGCCATCAAAATAAATATTTTTTTTTGATGAGAAGCAAACACCTGCTAGCTGCCTTAAACTAAGCGCTTTTCTTAATTTTATATTTGTTATTTTGTAAATTTTGTTGCCGTTGGCAGCGCTATAAACGCGCACTAGTTAACAGTGCCCGCGACGCCAATCATCAAAGCAATAAGAACAAGCTAATGAATGTGTAAAATAGCTAAAGACAAGCAGACTGAGGAGGTAGCCAGCCATGCTGCCGCCACGCGTTCGCAACCAACACCGCGCGTCTGCAACCTACACCGTCCGCAACAAAATACACCCTCCAATTTTAGTAGCCCAAATTAAATCAAGGCCCGGCATGCCAACAGCGCCGTGTGGCCGCGCGCGCTTTGCCGCTGATGCCTACTTTACACATTTGCAAAGTAGAATATTTGTTGCGTGCATGTTGTTGTAATTGATTTGTTATTTAAATAATAAGAGCGCATACATACACACACAAACATGTTGCACAAGTGTTTAGCTCAGCAAAACACAGCGCCGCAAACATACCAATGTCCTTTGCGCGACGACGCCAGCTGGGGAAGAGGCGCGGCGTAACAAACGCGTTACGCGCACACAAGCACCAGGCTAAGTAGACGCGCGCTAACACACACACACATACGCGTATAAGCACAACGCACTGACACGCGGTCTCTGGAGCGGCGCGGACGCGTTTGTGAACGCGGATACTACGCGACGTACGCGATAACGCGGCGTTAGGCGAGCGATAGTGCGGGTTAAGCGCACGTACACGCGTTATCAAATGATTTGCAACGCGTAAGGCGGCTTGACTTTGACGAAACTTTTTTGTGCTTCTTGTGTGTGTTTTTTTGCGTTTTGTCGTATTTGCGTTTTTGTTTTATTTCACGTTTTGCGCTGCTGTCTGCTTTCGAAGATGCTGCTGCAGAATTGCTTTCGTGCTGCGACTGGCCTGACGGACCTGCCAACAATTTTTACAATTTACACAAAATTTATTTTTCTTGCACGCAAGTGCCACAACACTTAATATTTTTTTATTTTTTTATTTATAATTTTTCAGTGCAAGCCATACTTTTTTTAAATAATTTGCATAATTTTGTTTGCAACCCATTTGCTTTGGTGGAAATTTAGAATTCACTACACATTTGCTTCTCAGAATTTGTGGCGTTTGGTGAAACACACGCGCGCAATTGTTCGCGTTCCAAATTGACCCGACGACTGGAACTCCATGACTGACGTTTGACATCGAAAAAATTTCATTCCTTACCAGCCACAGCCACATCGAAACGGCGCAAGCACAACAACGTCGCTGCGCGCATCAACGACGGCGCTAGCCGCGTCGTCAATGCCAACTGCAGCTGCAGCTTGCCACGGCGGCAGCTGTTGTAACGCGCGCCACATACATACAAACATGCGTTGGCAACGCGCAGCAGCGGAAAAGCACAACCAAGCTCTTTACAACAATGCCACTTTGTTGTTTGTTGTTTAGACCAACGCTGGCGTCGGCAGCGTCGCCATTACTCTCGTTTGTCCTTACATTTCGTCGTGTGGCACTTCGCTTGCCGTCCGCTGTGTGCTCGTGCAGCCGAGTTTGTGCCAGCTGTGACGTAAAGCTATTCGAAAAAGCTCTCTTAGCTTGGCGTACGCACACACACACACACATCCCTATACGTAACGGTACACATGCACAAGCGCGCTCATGCACACACAGACACTGTTCACGCACTTCCAAAGTTCCATATTCTGGCGCCTTTCCAGCAGGTGTGAAAGTTCCAAAGTTCCAATTTCATTGACTGTGCAGACAACGTGTGCGGCTCGGGGCTGCCAATGTACGCCTTTGTGACGTGGCGGAAAGTAGTAAAGGTAGTGATGAAAAACGTGAAAAACGGAATGAGTATAGTAAAGGTCTTTCTTCGTTAAAGCGAACTAAAGAGAGGATATACGTGTTCTCAACCTCAAAGTTGTGAATACAGACTCCCTTAAGAACACTTTAATGACTACTTTAATAAACTCACACCGCATTGCGTCAGAGAATGTCTATATAGTCTAGAGGCTGCCGAAGAGGGGCTGCATATATACCGGGTTCCAGGCCACAAGGGCGCTCCGGGAAACGAACTAGCGGACGAAATTGTAAAAAATGGCATTTGTTTGACTACCGAACCCATTCAGGATGTACGCAAATCGTTTAAAACGATACACAATGCACTTTCCTAAAGGATTAACAGACGAATCAAGCTTTGGTGAAATGCCTGAGAGACTTCCTGGATCATCAAGATCATGTGCAAGGAAGCGGAATAATACCAACGAGGTCTCGCAAAGACTGCAGAACGGTTGTTGGCCTAGTCACAACTTACTGGCTTTATCTAAAACACAACTCAGATATATTGAAGCTTCGCAATTCAAGGGACAGGATGACAGATAACAAGTGACCCTTAAAGTTCGGTTTACTGGACCTCAATCTGCCATGAAACTTCACAAAAATTGTTGACTTCCTGCACGATATAAGCTTAAAAATTACAAGGGACCTGTATGACGTAACAACTAGCCAGTGTCACCTAACCTTACCTAATGGCCGAAGATTCATTATGGTAAATTTAGATTCCCTTGATTCCGTAGCGGATCTCCAAAAGTGCTTCCGAAAATTATATCTGGCGTTGGGGAAAAATTTCTGCTTAACATAGTTTTAAGTCCAAGAGACACAAATAAAAATCGAAAGACAAGACAAAATTGTGATATTGGAGAAAGTAGGGGTTTACCAGAAATCATCTTTCTCAAAAGAAGCCGTTGTCTGAAAATTTTACATTTCTACAGAAAGGCTTAAAAATCGAAATTATTATCATATGATTCCTTTGATCATTATCTAACAATTATTTCCGTTAAGGCCGTGTGAAAACTGTAAGTCAATCAGTATAGCCATTTCGGAGAGATTTTCCTCACCGACTCTGAAAATAGCGCTTCGCGTTTGACAGTCATAACTTTGAAGTCGTAGATAATTACATCTATCTTGAAACTAGTATTAACAGCAACAACAGTGTCAGCCCCGAAATCCAACTCAGCATAACAACTTCGAACTGAGTAGGTAATTGAGAAGTGAAGTCCTCTCAACGGACCAAAACCAAACTCAATAAGTCGCCTGTCCTGGCAACATCTGATGAGTCGGCGTTACGAGTCTTCGAGAGAAAGGTTCTGCGGAAGATCTATGACCTTTTGCTCATTGGCCACGACGAATATCGCATTAGATGGAACCATGAACTGTTCGAGATATGCGACGACATTGACATAATTCAACGAATTCAAAGACTGCCGCTACACTGGCTAGATCATGTTGTCCGAATGGACGAAAACACTCGAGCTCTGAAAGTATTCGACGCAGAACCCGCCGGGGTAAGCCGAGGAAGAGAAAGACCTCGTCTCCGATTGGCACCACGTTGCGAAAACTAACTTACCTTTAGTTTAAAAACGCTTCTACAAATACTTTCACCAACGTAGGAAGCTACTCGGTTCCGTAAACATGCTTAGTACAAATCTATAAGCATCCTGCCAACATTTTTATCTATTTTGTGAACCCGGCAAAGTTGCGAAAAGCTTTGAAAGTCTAGACATAAAACACGCTAATAAGCACAAAAGTTAAATCCTGAACTTTGAAAGCCTCTAAGGAGTTTTGCACAAACTCGGCATTTGCAGAGTTTAGCTAAGGCGACCACCATAAGATTACAGTGATACTAAAACTGCATAGTGTTCTCATGTACCGCATTTCCAGTGGCTCTAAATCAAAACAAGTATGTCAAATTAATTAAAAATAAATAACTCATCAAAAAATGTCTTAAAAAATAGTTCAAATTTCACGATCAAAATAATTTTTATTAACAATAGTATCGAAATTAATAAAAAAAAAATAAAAGTTTTGGTTTTGTTGGAGTAAAGAATTCAGTGGAATTCCGATAATCATCTCCAGAATTGTTACCATTCTTGTTAAAATCTTAAACTTAGTAAACGAAAGTCCATGTATCTATATATGTATTGATCTTGCTGAAGAACATGAGTCAAATTATAATTTTGTTAACTAATTTTCTTTTTATTTTTTGCAAAATAGTTTGCAATTAAATTGTATTCAGAAAAAAGTGCTGCCAAAATGAAGAATGAGAAATTAGAGAAAACGTATTAAAATTAATTAAAAATTTCAAATAATCTTCAAACATTCAACAACTACTGATAGTAATGGTTTAGAATTCAATAAACCTATTTGTACATAAAATAACTTTACAATCATATTTCTATATACAGTAAATCGTTTTATGTATATGTATATCATATCGTTTTATATTTATATATATACGTTCTCTGGTTTTACAGTAATTGCTACCCGAATCCCATTCCTACAACCAATGCGAGCACGGAGAAAACTGAAGCAAAAATATTGAAAAAGATCAAATAATGCCCCAACATCTTGCAAATATTCTTATTAACAGTTAAATAATTCATGAATACAGTTAAAAAATAATTCAATAAAAAATCTTTATATAATTCGTATTATTTTCCTTCTCTAAACATATCCACCTACAGTACATGTCAAACTGCATATGCTGTGCTGCCAAATTTTACTGCCAGTGTACACCAGCTTCGACATTCCGTGCAACGCTGGCATACGTACGAGCTGCGCAAAGCAGAACTGTAAAATTCACGGAATTAATTTTCGCCGTTGCGAGGCAAAACGTCAGTTGAGAAATAAATGGCGGATCGATTGTAAGTGTAGCGGAAGAAGTGCGTGTCGAATTTTCCATAATTTACGGGCAGTGCAAAAATAATATATACACATATTGTGAAAAAAAAATAGTTTAAAATATCAACACAATCATATATAATTAAGTGAGTATTCCCTTAGCGGTGTTTATTTGTGTATTTTTGGCAAAGAAAATACAGCAAAGTGCCATGAAATTTTTTTGCAAAGTTTGTGAAAATCGGTGAAAAAGTGTACAAGTGTGTGTGAATAAATTGCATAAAATGTAAACTGGAAATGAGAAATATGTGAAAGATAGACAACGAAACGAAACAATTGAGTGGTATAGAATTTATGCAAAATGCGCTGGATTTTAGAAATTTTAACGATGTGGGGGGTCCTTAGCAGTTTGTTTTTTAGTTGCATAGAGAATTCTATCAAATTAATATGGCAGCTGCCTGAAAATGTAGTAAATATTATTAATAATAGCAGTATTGGCACAAAAGAAAAGTAGAAAGGTTACAACAAAGGTAGCGTAATTGCTGGTGTGGCTATTCTAGCAGCAACAACTCGCCACGCCAAACAATTTGTATAGCTTGTGCAATAAATGCTGCCACTAAATAAAAGTTTTACAATTGCTGTATAAAATTTGGTACTTAGACTTTAGTCCCCAACAACGAAAGTTAAAAATTTTCATATAATTTGTTCTTTTTTCCATATTTTCCTATCACCACTTATTTGCTACTTCTCTCTGTTTGCAATGTACGTTTTGTGCTGCGTCTTCCTGTTGTTCATTCATGATTCTTGACGTCTGCTTTTCACCTACGTTCGTAGTTGTTTTGCTCACTTTTCTCCTTGGCATTCGCCAATTGGATTTTTCAATGCTGTTTAGTCGGCTGTCGGATATTTTTCGCCAAACGTTTGCGGAAAGTCAAATAATTTGGTAGTTAAAATTTTCAGTTTTCGTTTTTAATGCGACAATTTACAATAAATTGTACGATGTGAATTTACAAATACAAAGTTGAAATTTAAATAAAAATAAATTTATGTAATAAATTGCTTATTGTGCTATAGTTTCGTAAATACGTTTGTAAATTTCAAGCAATCGCTGTTTAGTATCAATATTATCATTGTATTTGAAATAAAATCGTTAATTTAAACTTTAGGCTTCCAGTTTATAGTAGTTCTGCGTGTTATAATACTCGTTATTGTGCTTCGATTTAAAAATATAGCAAATTGTTAAAAAAAAAGTGCGTAATATACCAGGTAGTTAGTGTCAAACGCTTCTAAAACACAACAAAAATCCATACCAGCTGCATAAACAGTTATTTTGGTATACAAAGGTGCGGCTCGCCTGTAATCTTGGCAACTAGCGCCTTGTGCAAGCAACAGCATTACTTCAGCGCCTGCAACTCAAAAAGGTAAGTTGTGTGTATTTTTTGTGATACTTTAGAAGTTAGAACGAATTATGTTGCAACCGAATGTAATAAAGTTTTTTATTTTTTCATTATATATTTTTTGAAATTTTTATTTTATTTTATATGTACATATACATATATTTTTTTAGTCCAACATTTTTTTATTTCATTTTTATTTTTTGTTATTATTATTATTTTTTTTTTAATAAATTAGATGTGTATAAGAGACAGGTGTGTGTGTGTGCGTACGCCAAGCTAAGAGAGCTTTTTCGAATAGCTTTACGTCACAGCTGGCACAAACTCGGCTGCACGAGCACACAGCGGACGGCAAGCGAAGTGCCACACGACGAAATGTAAGGACAAACGAGAGTAATGGCGACGCTGCCGACGCCAGCGTTGGTCTAAACAACAAACAACAAAGTGGCATTGTTGTAAAGAGCTTGGTTGTGCTTTTCCGCTGCTGCGCGTTGCCAACGCATGTTTGTATGTATGTGGCGCGCGTTACAACAGCTGCCGCCGTGGCAAGCTGCAGCTGCAGTTGGCATTGACGACGCGGCTAGCGCCGTCGTTGATGCGCGCAGCGACGTTGTTGTGCTTGCGCCGTTTCGATGTGGCTGTGGCTGGTAAGGAATGAAATTTTTTCGATGTCAAACGTCAGTCATGGAGTTCCAGTCGTCGGGTCAATTTGGAACGCGAACAATTGCGCGCGTGTGTTTCACCAAACGCCACAAATTCTGAGAAGCAAATGTGTAGTGAATTCTAAATTTCCACCAAAGCAAATGGGTTGCAAACAAAATTATGCAAATTATTTAAAAAAAGTATGGCTTGCACTGAAAAATTATAAATAAAAAAATAAAAAAATATTAAGTGTTGTGGCACTTGCGTGCAAGAAAAATAAATTTTGTGTAAATTGTAAAAATTGTTGGCAGGTCCGTCAGGCCAGTCGCAGCACGAAAGCAATTCTGCAGCAGCATCTTCGAAAGCAGACAGCAGCGCAAAACGTGAAATAAAACAAAAACGCAAATACGACAAAACGCAAAAAAACACACACAAGAAGCACAAAAAAGTTTCGTCAAAGTCAAGCCGCCTTACGCGTTGCAAATCATTTGATAACGCGTGTACGTGCGCTTAACCCGCACTATCGCTCGCCTAACGCCGCGTTATCGCGTACGTCGCGTAGTATCCGCGTTCACAAACGCGTCCGCGCCGCTCCAGAGACCGCGTGTCAGTGCGTTGTGCTTATACGCGTATGTGTGTGTGTGTTAGCGCGCGTCTACTTAGCCTGGTGCTTGTGTGCGCGTAACGCGTTTGTTACGCCGCGCCTCTTCCCCAGCTGGCGTCGTCGCGCAAAGGACATTGGTATGTTTGCGGCGCTGTGTTTTGCTGAGCTAAACACTTGTGCAACATGTTTGTGTGTGTATGTATGCGCTCTTATTATTTAAATAACAAATCAATTACAACAACATGCACGCAACAAATATTCTACTTTGCAAATGTGTAAAGTAGGCATCAGCGGCAAAGCGCGCGCGGCCACACGGCGCTGTTGGCATGCCGGGCCTTGATTTAATTTGGGCTACTAAAATTGGAGGGTGTATTTTGTTGCGGACGGTGTAGGTTGCAGACGCGCGGTGTTGGTTGCGAACGCGTGGCGGCAGCATGGCTGGCTACCTCCTCAGTCTGCTTGTCTTTAGCTATTTTACACATTCATTAGCTTGTTCTTATTGCTTTGATGATTGGCGTCGCGGGCACTGTTAACTAGTGCGCGTTTATAGCGCTGCCAACGGCAACAAAATTTACAAAATAACAAATATAAAATTAAGAAAAGCGCTTAGTTTAAGGCAGCTAGCAGGTGTTTGCTTCTCATCAAAAAAAAATATTTATTTTGATGGCAATTATCGTTGAAATTCGATATTATTTATAGCAAGCGCTTTAAAATTTCCCGGACTTTAAACTTTGAATCCGCTTAAGTATATATTTACTTTTACTACCGTTGCTCAGTGCTTCTTGGTTACTGCCGCCACCTACAAAATGATTTCGTTGCGTTCTTATTAGAAATTATATGCACACTCGACGGCTTGTAGCTTACTTGTAAACAAACAGTCAGCCTATAATAAAATTATGTCCCCCCCTAAAATGCAAAATAACGTAACGTCACTTTTCATAAAATTACAGTCGAAGGAAAAATTATATAAAAGAAACCGCTCATATTGAAACAAAATTTGATTTCTGGTTATAAAACGGTTATAAATTGGTTATTAATTGGTTATAAATTGGTTATAAATTGGCTATAAGTTGGTTATTAATTGGTTATAAATTGGCTATAAATTGGTTATTAATTGGTTATAATTCTGTTATTAATTGGTTATAAATTGGTTATATCTGAGAGCGGAACCTAAAAATTTTATACTGGATATACCACTGTGATCAAATTTGAAAGGTGAATTTTGTCCATTTCATCTCCTTCAAAGTAATCCCTTCTTGCTGCAATACACTTATGGAAACGAATTTTCCAGTCATCATAGCGCTTGGAAAAATCCTCCATCGTGATGGCCATCAGGGCCTCCTCTCGCGATTCAGCTTTTATATCCTCAATTGAGTCAAAACGTTGTCTTTGGAGTGGTCTGTAATATAACGTAGTGAGCCGTTGGCAATAAAAAACTGAATTTCGAGTTTATTAATGATACGTTGTTTTGCATTTTAGGTGACGATTTGACTTTATTTTAACTTAATTAGTTATTTTGTGTATTTTTACGATTGTGACTCTCTCTCTCTAATTATTTAGAAAAAATGTAAACAAACTCTTTGGAAAGTAGCCGGCGAAGTTGAGGTTAAGAGCTGCTGAATTCAATTTGATTTGTTTAAAAGTTGATAAAAATTAAAAAAAAATTCAAATAAAAAATATTTTAATAAAAAAATATTTGATTAACAAAATTACAACAAAAAATTTCGGTTGCATCGAAATTATAATATCCTACACAAGTGCATTTCTTAAGTAGAAAAGGTTATACAAATAATTATTTCTTGACTTTCCTCGATTAGTTTCTCAAATTGAAGCACTTCTTTGGACAATAAGCTATACCGAATTTCGTTAAGTTATCTTATCAAATAAAGAAGTTTTTCATACAAACACTTACTTCCCATCATTCAGTTTGTATGACAGCTATATGCTATAGTAGTCCGATATCGGTGATTCCGACGAATGAGCAACTTCCTGTGTCGAAAAAAACGTGTACAAAATGTCAGCACGTTAGCTCAAAAGCTAAGGATCAAGTCATGGTTTCATAGCAAAAGTCTGAGACTCCAACATTGGGGGTAGTTAAACTGGATATTAATGTGGGAAACTTAATATACTCTATATAAGAATATAGAATAAATTGTGTAGCGTAGCATTTACGGCACTTTCTAGTCTTATTTTATAATGATTATTATATTCTGCGATATTTCAGAAATAATAACTTTATTCAATTTGCAGTTGCTTACTAATATTCTCTAGTAACTGGGTACTCTCAGTTGTGTGATAAAAGAAATAATCTCAAAACAAAAAACAAAAAAATAAAAATATAATAAAGAACTGTGATAAAAATTATTTTTCAAAAGTGATACCGGGTTTTTTAAAGTCGATTAAGATGAAGAGACTTTTAAAAGTGTAAAAGATTTCTTAACATCTTATGCCAGTCTAGAGTCCTCAATGCCTAGTTTTGACCATTAATTCTGGCAGTAGAGGAAAAGAAATCGAAGTACACTGCTAAAGGCTTAATAAAGCCTGAAGTTAAGATTGATTTTGATTTTCTGATAAAAAATGACGGCGACTGGACTAAACTTCGGAAAAGCCTTTTACAACAAGGCCTTTATGAGCGAGGACGATAGTAAGAACTCATGAAACAAGCGTTAAAAACGATATCTAAAATGTTTCGCAAAATGACGGACTTGTATAAAAGAAAAATTTTTATTGGAAAACTATTTTACCAATTTGAAATGTTTTCAAGACCCTAAAATGTACTTGAAGCCGCAAAAAATGCATAGCTTATTTTGGAAAAAATCAATCAAACAAAAAATTAAGGCACTAAAATATATTTTAACTCGAAACAAAATTTCTAAACCTTTTTTTATTCTTCAGAAAAAATTGTTGTTCATGCTACCAATTGAAGATGTTTTCAACTGTACTTTAAGGGAAAAAAATCGTAGCCCGAACTGAAGAATAAAGTGACATCATATGTTGATCACTTCACACTAATCGAATAATATTTTCAGAACCCTAAAGTGCACTTTGAACCAAAACAAAAGAAAACAGAAAACAAAGAAATGTCGCCCTTCTAAAGTGTGCTTTAAGCCATACCAAACTCTGTTTCCATTTGCTTAAAATTTTTATGAAAATTAAATCAAGAGCTGAAGCTATTAGACCACCATAAACGTTGTTAATTTGCTGATTTTGCCTTTGGAATAACTTGAAAATTACAAATACACAAATTATTCAGGAATAACCAATACATTCACCTAATTTGCCAGTTTGGTGTGGGTTTTGGTCTGGTGGAATCATCGGTTAATACTTCTTTAGAAATGAAGCTCGTGACACCTTTACTGTCAATGGAGCGCGACATAGATCGATGATAGCCAAATATTTATTGCCGCAATTGGAAAAAGTTGATCTTGACAGCATCTGTTTCTAACAAGGCGGGGCTACGTGCCCCGAATTACTTCGAGAAAAGTTTGGAGATTCGTTTATTTCAAAAAATTGTTACTTCGAATGGCCTCCAAGAAGTTGGGATATAACATCTTTAGACTGCTGCTTGTGGAGTTATTTGAAGTCATTGGTCTTTAGCAATAAACCAGACTCTCTTCAAGCTTTAGGAGTCAATATTTAGCGAACTGTTAATGACATACGACTTGACTTAGTGGCAAAAGTACTCAAAAATTAGGTCAATGGAATTCGTTCCAGCAAAAGAAGTCTTTTAGGCTCTTCGAATGATGTTATAATCAGAACCAAATTGAGGATCTCATGGTAC